ACTATCGTATATTCCGGCATATAAGACGACTGGGCGTATAAGACGATCCCGAACTTTTCCAGTTAAAATATAGAGTATGGGATATATTTGCCGTATAAGACTACCCCTCTTCCAATGCACACCAAATAAAAATTTAAAAAGCATCAGATTTGATTTCAATATGGCAATTTTCTTATTACTGTACCTCCTTCTCTGCCTCTCAGATCTCGCACATGCGCACCTGTACCACTTCACTGCAGTCTTCAGGAGCGAGATCTGAGAGGCAGAGGAGGAGGTATGGTAATAGGATACAAGGGTGGGCCAGACAGGTAAAAGAGGTGTGTTTGTCTGGGCCCAGAGCCACTCTATCTCTTTTTTCAATACCCTGGGCACCCCGGAAGCCCTCAGCTTGCTCCGCCCTTCACTTACACCTTCCCGGTGAGGCACCCCTTCACCTGACCATCAGGACCACATTAAGTCCACGAATCCTGATGAATGGATTTTCTTCTACCGTACTTGTACAACGTCGTCCTTAATGCTTTCATACAGTCACTATATTCGGCAGGGACATGGCCATTGCTATTTTTGAGCTTCCCCCACCATATACGGCAACCACAGATTCTCCAATCCGATTGGAAATTTCAGCACCCGCTCTATAAGACGACTCCCGCGTATAAGACTACTCCCGCGTATAAGACTACTCCCACATATAAGACGACCCCGCATATAAGACAACCCCTGACTTTTGAGAAGATTTTCTTGGGTTAAAAAGTAGTCTTATACACCAGACTATATGGTATATTTCATTTTAAACTAAGGTCTGATAGGGTCTAATCTTAACTGGGATTTGATAAAATGAGTCAAATTCTACCATGGTATATAGCATGGTTTGTTACAATAAATACAGTGTAAAGATTATCCACAATTTGTTCATATTTAATTTGGTTTATTGAGAACATAAGAAAATGTTTCTTTTGTCATTGTTGTGATTCTGCTAGGGATGAAGTACTTGAGTCTAATACTCACATACCTAGTGCTAGGTATTGGTTGAATATTATATTTGAGCAGTGAAACACTTGCCGTATGTTATAGCATGCCACAGTGGTGAATTCTTATTTTAGCCAAATGTTGGAATATGCAGTTTGAGCATTTGGAATAATTATTTGTTTTATTTATTTATTTATTTACTACTCTTATATACCGCAATTCTCAGCCTACTGGCGACTCATTGCGGTGTACAACATAGAAAAAAGGTGCAGAATACAACATAATATAAAATAATCCACAGTACATAGTTATCACATCATCAAAACATCAAATTACTACAAGATCATTCCGAGTCGTCTCATCGTCAAATTCACAATCCGATACCATTTCCGTTGTTCCATTCCTATGGTCAAATCACCAGTCATTGCACTTCTATTCAAAAGCCTTCTTAAACAACCAGGTCTTCAGCTTCCTGCGGAAGATCAACAGGGAGGGGGCTAACCTGATGTCTACGGGAAGGGTGTTCCACAGCCGAGGAGCCACCACCGAGAAGGCCCTATCTCTCGTCCCCGCCAGCCGTGCCTGAGACGCAGGCGGGATCGAGAGCAGGGCCTCCCCGGAAGATCTCAAAGTCCTCGTGGGCTCATAGGCCGAGAGGCGGTTAGTTAGGTATCTTGGGCCGGAACCGTTTAGGGCTTTATAGGCCAGTGCCAGCACCTTGAATTGAGCCCGGTAGCAGATCGGCAGCCAGTGGAGCTGGTACAGCAGGGGGGTGGTATGCTCCCTGTGCCCCGCTCCTGTTAGTATCATGGCTGCCGCACGTTGGACCAGTTGGAGCTTCCGGGCCGTCTTCAAGGGCAACCCCACGTAGAGAGCGTTGCAGTAGTCTAAACGGGATGTAACCAGAGCGTGGACTACCGTGGCCAAGTCAGACTTCCCAAGGTACGGGCGCAGCTGGCGCACGAGCCTAAGCTGTGCAAATGCTCCCCTGGTCACCGCCGAGACCTGGGGCTCCAGGCTCAGCGATGAATCCAGGATCACACCCAAGCTGCGAACCTGCGCCTTCAAGGGGAGTGCGACCCCGTCCAGCACAGGCTGTAACCCTATACCCTGTTCAGCCTTGCGACTGACCAGGAGTACCTCTGTCTTGTCTGGATTCAATTTCAATTTGTTCGCCCTCATCCAGACCATTACAGCGGCCAGGCACCGGTTCAGGACCTCGACAGCCTCCTTAGTAGCAGGTGGGAAGGAGTGACAGAGTTGGACATCATCTGCGTACAGATGACACCGCACCCCGAAACTCCGGATGATCTCACCCAGCGGCTTCATGTAGATATTAAACAACATGGGGGACAGTATAGAGCACTGAGGAACCCCACACGACAAAGGTTCTAACTTAACTTCTAACTTAGGAGTTCAGAAGGGAAGGAATGCAAACACGTAGAAAGAAGTTAAAAAGAATCTCTTAAGCTTTTTTGTGTCAAAATCAATCAAAATCAAATAAGGATATATGTATTTGATGTGTTTGTTTCTATTTAAGTGTTCCCAAGGCATGTATAGCAAATAAAAAGCATACAAAATAAACAAAAATACTCTGTAAAAACAAACTAAAACAATTTCAAAATATTCATACATAAAACAAAATACATACATTATCTGCAGCTCAGAAGTTGAGGTATAAGTTTTATTTATATAAAATACTTAAACAGTGTTTAGCTATAGAGTGTAGCCATTCTTTTGTGCATTACCTTTACTTTTTTAATGGTCTGAAACTGAAAAAGTAAAAGTTACCTTGCATAATTCACCATATAACATATTTTAGAATGAGTTAAGTATGCCCTCTTCTATTATTTTCTGTGTGTGGTGCAAAACATGTTAAAATGTCCTTACAATGAAGCATTTCATTCAACTTTATTGTATTTGGATAATTTCCAGGGTTTCAAATCAGTCATAGATTTTCTTGTAGCAAAACAAATTTACATAGCACTCAGTTTTTAGTTTGGATATATTAAATAAGCATAATTTTATCCTGAGTAGTTAGGACCATACATCCATCAGCTAGGGATGGGACTTCTCAATTTTCCCACTTCTCGACAGATGTAGATGAAATGATATTGATATTAAAACTATTGGGATTGTTTCTTAAGCATGCAGAAAACTCATTGTTGCATGTTTAAAAACTGCATTTTCAAGAAACTCACAGTTTTGCCCATTAGTGTACAAAATTCAGAAAAAAACAATTGCACTGTTGTAGATTTGCCTTTGAGGATAAGTGTTTCATTTTGTGCAACTTCTTGAGAAGGAAGGACAAAATAGCACAGGAATTGATGGCTTAGATGCCAGGAATTCATAAATAAATGTATAATGTATATGGACGTTTTTGGACTGGTTTTCTCATCTTGCCTGATAGAAGGACAAAGATGTTGAACAAAAATCGCCTTCACTTTCCTTTCAACCTTTTGTCTCAGGAACCCCCAAGCAGTGGATTCTCCAGGGTCTGAATCTGTACTCCCCTTCTTTCTTAACCCTACCATATACAGTAAAGTAATGTATAAGGAGAAATTGTAGTCCAAAACTTGACACCCCTATGTTGATTTATCCATGGGTTTATTTATTTATCATAAATAAATAACTTAATGCTGACCCATGGATAAATCAACATGGGCGGCATCAGTTTTCTCTGTGGAGAAAATCTAGAGCTTAGTTCATCCCGGGAGAACTTAAAAGAAGCATGAACCTGCTCTAGTTTCTCTGTCATGGTGTCATTTCTGGCATTTTTTAATGTCTGAGCAGGGATTGCGAGGGCAGTGGTCAAAGGCAGCAGACCCCCAGAGGTGGTGCTGGTGCTTTCAACTCTCCATGAAATTACCCACAACTTATCCATAGGATATGGAAAAATAATGTTGCCCCCAAATTTGTCCTCTGCTTGTATACAAGTATATACTGTACCTACTCTGATATCCCATTTCATTTTTGTCCTTGCTAATTCACTTCTTACCAACCAAGGCTGTTCCTTGCCTGCCTCCTTCTTAACTGGTTCTTATTTATTTATGCAACTGGTTCCCTGAACTTTGGGCTCTGAGTCAGTGCTATCCTTATATCTTGATAGGTCTACCTACTTGGATTCCCAAATCATTTCGCAGATGCCTTTTCATCCTTAATAATGGGCTTCATCCCTGCCGGGGTCGCTCTACCTCTGTTGCCCCATGGCTATTGTTATTTTATTTATATCCTGCTTTTAGCTCTTGATTAAGACACAAAACCTTGGTGGGGATAAGACAGCGTCTGGGAAATCATCTGGGAATCAGAGGAGGTAGCCAGGTCAAGATAGAAGGGGAACACATATTTAAAGCCCAGAGAGTTCATGAAAGTTGCACAGGAGAGGAAGAGGTTATAAAGCAAATTAGAGAAGAAAATTGTTTAAGATGTGTAACTTTAGGATTTGGTATTCAAGTAATGTTCTACTCTGTTCTCCCCCTTATCAATATTGAATCATTCAGATGGTTATAAAAAAATTACTCAGTTTTAGCTAGTACAGTACATACAACTTTGCCTTGATAAGCTGTGCTGTATTCCAACTGTAGAACTTTTAAGTCTGTGCAAACTTGACAAGATTGTTCTGGTTTGCTAGGCCAAGAACAATAAAAAGGTTCCAGCAACTTGCCGGAATTTTCCAAGCATTCATTTTGTTTGTTCCTGTCAGTTTTCTTGAGTGGTTGGGAACACCAAAATTTGACTACATTTGGGAAATAGTAGAATACCCATTCGATCCCTGCCATTCACTATTGAAATGTTTAATTTATTGTGAAGAGTAAATTAGAGTAAGTTCTGTTTGTCTTTATGTGAGATCTTATTCTTTTCCAGCTGAATAAAATAATGCATTTAAAACAGGTTAACTAAATGTAATATTTTAGACATCAGATCTAAAGTTTTTATTTTTTATATAGTACTTATCAACATTTTTCTAGATGAATGAAATATGATCCTGCCTTTTAAAAAAAATTAAAGTTCACTTCTATTTCTTTGTTTTTCAGAATTTGATTCTTTCACGGCCTTCTATACAATTTCAAGGACTCCAAGGGGTGAGTATTTACTTTTTACTTTATTTTTAAAAATATGCATCTTAATAAAACAGGTCATAAATGTTATCTATGTGCATTGTAGCATTTTCTATTTCATAGAGTATATAGCGGTCATTTTAACATTCCCCCAACTGCTACCTCTGTTAGAACCTCCTTTTGAATTGAATAATTACGACAGGGTTTTGGTTTTCCCCCCACTGTGGCTGCTTTTCTTCAGTTCTCAGCTTTGTCCTTTAATGATGTCTGACTGCGTACCCTATTCTATATTTTTGTAGTTTTCCCCTTTAAAGAAAAACCTCTTTGCTGTGATGTTTCTTAAAGACTCGTGTTAGTTGGACAGTGTTTTAAAAATCACTTATGTTGTACTTCATGCATGCTGTGGCGAAGAATATGTGTTTTCTATAAGCAAGATGACTATTTTTCTAGAAGATAATGTCTTGTTCTTTGGGGCAGAGAGCAAGGCCACCGGGGTGAATGCTGTCAATAACTGTCATATAATTCTCAGGAAGCAAGGGCCGTTCTGTGTCTATTCTTAGAATACTGCTACGGGCTCTTGCTAGTTCTTGCTTTACTGAGAAGGTCTATCCTGTAGGATCTATTAATTTACACTACCACCACCCTAAAACATCTTGCAATTGATAGAGATAATATGTTTAAATATGGTAGGGGATAAACACATTGTCTGTGTCTTTCTCATTCACAAAAGCATGCTCTAATACCAACACCAGCTTTTATTTTAGTAGGACTTGGCCAGAGATTGATAGCCAGCATGGTGGTGTTGCTTAAATGTTGGAGTGGACTCTGGTAGTCCAGGGTTCAAATCTCTTTTTGACTCCAGAGGCCACTTTGAGTCCCTGTTTGAATCTCAGAGAAAGGTATTAGCGAGCCATCTCTGAACAAATCTTGCTAAGAATAGGAGATTATTTCAAGGTACATAACAGACACCACAGGAAGCTTAAGGTTGTCCGTTAAATTCAGGAGAAAATTGTAGTTCTTTCCCTAAAACAATGAGCCATGTATCAGCTCTTTTTTAACCTGCCCTCATTTTTTTCCTAATACTTAGGATTTCTATAAACCGATACTTTTAACACAGTTTGCAGCCACTGGCAACTTACCATAAAACATAAAATGTAAGCATTAATAGAGAGAAACAGTGAAGCTGTGTGTAGATGTGTATTTTTTTATGGAAAAAGATACACATGGAAAAGTGACTCTTCCACTCTCAATTTGTGACAAGTATTTCCTATAGCAGATACTCTTCATAGTTTGGGAAATTTGCAAGGAGAGATCTAGACAAGAGTAATATATAATTTTCCTTAGTAGAACAATATGTTTTCTTGCTCTATGCAAATGTTTTCTAGGCTAAATTCTGAGTCCAGGCTAATAGCATAAAAGTATATAAAAGTATACAAGTATATAGTAGGTGTTCTTAATGATGTATAACATAAGATTTTATTAAATGTACATTCCAATGGTCACTGTGGGTCAAGCTAGCGCTTGGATAGAAAATCACATGTGAATCTTATATATCCTAGATTGTATTCCATTATTGAAAGGCAATACATAATGTGTGTTCTGGATATATAGCTTCTTAATAGATATTCTAAATGTTTCAGCCACCATCATTGTTCTAAATATCAGTAGGTTTTGAATTAAAACAACTTAACATAGCTGATTAATTAATGGGGGGAGATGCTGTTAAATTTTCAGATGTTTCAATATGATGTAGCATAAAAGGTATTCTCTTGTCTGGGACTTTTCATGAGTCAAATTATATCCTCTGATCTTTAGGGCTATCTGCTGCCTTGGAATAATATGAGTTGAGGTTCAGAGCAAGGTCACAGAAAGTGTTGCCTTCCAGATATTAGTGGGTTGTGAATTCCATTTTGCTGCCCCCTGGCTATGATGGGCTATGGCTGGTGACAACCGCATCCCAGTAAAACCTGGAGGATCCATTGTCTCTTTAAAGCTAACTCTAAGGGTTCCAGTATTATGACAGTAGCTGTTCATGTGGCTATTTATAATACCAAAAGCATGAAGAAAATCAGGCAGTATAGAATGATGTTCTATATTGGTAAATTCTAGAACATAGGTACAAAAACATGTAAACCTTGTTATTTTATAAAGTAGCTGCCATCTGTCTCTGGTGCACACTCGATACAACACTGTTGGCAAGTACTGTCCTCTTTTGTTCCTCCTCGGTTTCTTTCTTTCTTTCTTTCTTTCTTTGCAGTGTGCTTGAAATAGTAGGCATGTACTTTCCATTTCTGAGAGTGCCTCCTAGTTACTATTAAACTATAGCTGTCCATCAGGCAGTCATCTGAACTGAGCAGGCTGAATTACCTACATGTCTCTCTCAGAACCAACAGATTCACCAATTATCTATTTACAAAGATGATGCCATCTTCTGTTTTACTACCTAATCTTCTATGTTTTGTTAGTTGTAGAGTTTGATATATTAAAGTATTACATTTCAGTACCTTTTGCAAATAACCAAGGCAAATGACAACCATTCTGTTCATAACAAATAACAAAATGAAGGCCAATGTTCCTAACATCATTACTATTTCCCTCTGGTATGATTTCTAACATCTTGGCTTTAAAAAGAAACTAGTGAAATTTTGAAAGCTTATATAATGTCTTTTTTGCTTTAGAGTTGGGCCAATACAGGTATGGCTACTTGTGAAGTCTGGATTTTACTACATGGCCAAAACAGATACTCTTGAACATGTTTTTGACATGTCTATAGATACCTTAATATCAACAATTCACAACCTCTGAGGAAGCTTGCCATAGATGCCAGCAAAATGTCAGGAGATATTGCCTCTAGAACATGGCCACATAGCCCGAAAAAACCTACAACTCAATTCAGATACCATTATTATTTCTTTAAACCAAGGAAGCCAGATATTTCAGGAAGGTAATTAGATACAAATATTAACAGTATTATTTCTTTTGACAAGGATTCTTCTCAATGACAGGTTCTAATATAGATTTAAAAACTATGACTGTAATCCTTTTTGTTAGTCACAAATAGAGTCAGCTCATTCAATGAATTGTTGAATGGTAGCTCAACACATGAAATTCCCATTGATTGAACATGTCTTCTTTGGGTAGTACTAGCAACAGAATTCAGGCCTGCATTCATTGCCAGTCGTTTGTAAATTTATATTTGTCAATACCTTTTGTAAATCCTTGAAAATACAAAACTCCCAAAATTAACTTTCTGCAAAAACTATCTCTTTAATTTTACAAGTGTGTTTATTATTCTGTTGCAATTTGTTGAGTGACAGGTGATCACTAATCTATCTGTTTATGTGGGGGGTGGAGTTATACTTTAAAAATGATTATTTCCGACTTACATACAAATTCAACAAACCTACAGAACCTATCTTGTCCATAACTTGGGGGCTGCCTGTATACAACAGTATATGTTTAAATTCATGATTACGGTAGGGTTTCAGCAAGTAATTTGGCAAAAAAAAAATTACCTTGAAGAGGTCTGTGGAAATTTCCCATTCCTGCTTCTGTACCCAGTGAACATTGTTGTAAGGGGCAACTAGAGAAAAGGCTTTCAGGGGCTTTCGTTCCTTCAGGAGAGAGAAGTAAGAACCTTTCTTTCTGTGAGCAAAACTAAGTAACGCCTACTAGATTTAGGCTTTAGTGAGTCACCAAAAGGAACGGGTGTTGGCACATGGGGTTTTTCTCTGCTTATTTAATCCATGTAAGTAGGTAATGTAAGTAGATGATGATGTTGTACAATGCAATGGAATACATGATCTAGAATATTCTCTTTTACATTGTGGATTCACATTTCTTGGAGTTTCATAAATAGTTCCTTCTGCTCTATAGAAAACTATTGATGAATTTATATTAGTAGTTCTCTTGACAAGAGAATAATCCCATGCATGCCTGAGAGTGGTGTCTGGATGATTCTGGCTTTTACTCCTTTAGCTGGATTTTAAGCATTTGGGGGTGCGAAGAATATTGGAGACATCAGCTGCTCCCTTATATTTTCCAAAGAGCCTTGAGAGGCTCTTCAGGGGCCCTATTCCACCTATGTCCATCAAATATAGGGAGGCAGATAATTGCAGGGGAAAGTGCCATCCTGATGGTACACTGATTATGAAATGCCTTTCAAAAACAGACATATTCTTTTGATGTGGGCTCTTTTTCTCATTCTTCAAAACAAAACAAAAAGTTAATATTCGTATTTTGAATCACTGTGTGTTTTGAATGTGTACACGTATAATCTTTTTTTTCTGATAAAAACATTATGCTGCAAACTATAGTCTTATAATACTTTACTTTTAATTTAGACTCGTAAGCCACCCTGAAAACATTGTGTCGTGCATGGTCCTTGAAAAGCCATCTATTAGATGAACAGCTTAACCATGTAAAATGTAAATATAATAAGAACGTTTGCAGGCACATATTAGATGTGTACTCACTGGGAACTAGAACAGCAGGAACCAGATGCCTTTCCAATGTATACTTAATGACTATTTGGATTTCCTTCTGTGTTATGAGTGCAGTAGCACAAACTGCATCTATTCTATGTATTTTCTTAGAAGTTACGCATTATAGATATAAAATCAGTTTAAGCTCCAAAGCATTCAAGTACCTGCATAAATTTTAACAAACAAGTAGAAGATTTGTTTGTTAAAACTTAGAATGTTACTTTATAGAATGTAAAAAATTATACAAACTTTACCTTTTGTCTTTAAAAGGGGTTCCTAAATATCTTTAAAAGATCAAATTGTAGTCTTATCTACCTTGGATAAGTTTACAGAGCATATTCAGAAGTAAGCCCCATTGAGTTCAATGATACTTAGAGGTAAATAGATAGATAATAGGGTTGCAGTCTTAAGTAGCACATTTTGTAGTATTTTGCTTAAGTAAATTTATAGATTCTGTAATGTATGCATGCAAGGAAAGCATTTATAGGTAGTAGTGCCTTCCAACAGCGATCCACAAGTACAGTAGAAGAATACTTGCTCACTGCTATGTCATAGAATGAATTGAAACAGATTCAAAAACCAAGCAGATCCTTTTCTATAATTTTCTAAATAGGAGAGAGTGAAGCCCTGTGCACATCAGCTGATTTATTCAGGATCCCTTATCTATTATACAAAGGAAGGGAAATTCCCAGAGTGCACCTACTATAACCCTTTTTTGTGTTTTCATGTTTCCCTTCAGCTAGGGGGCACAATGGTGCACAGTCTTCCTACAAAACAGTGTTTAGTTGCCTAAAGTTGGCTGTCAATTTTCAGTGTCTTTTATCATAGCAGCCTATCAATACTTTTTGTACAACGTCCCCATCTTTTGGGTGGAGGGGACAATGTATAGCTTACTTTGCTGGATGTGCGTAAACATTTTGAAAGAGATCCCTTTTAATTCATCTTCTCATGTTGCTTACTATTTCTTAAACACTTATTCCTTATACCAAATGTTGTATGGCCACACCTAGCTCCCTCCTTCTTCTGTGCAGTATTTATACTAGCACCGTACAGTACTTCATCATCTCTGGTAGAATACAGTATGGGTTGGTAGCAGTGGAACAGCAGCTCTATGTTGTTCTTGCCCCATTCTGCTCTGTACAAAAGCATTCATAGAAGTTGCTAGTTTCTGAGTAATCTTGAAGCTAATTTCAGCAGTAGGTTTGCTTGTTTAAAATCTCAAAATGTTGAACTTGAGAAGAAGTATCAGTGCTTGTATGTATATAAATGTCATATCTTGAGAAAATAATAGCTCTTCCCACTTATCTTTTGATCACTAATTGTGCAGTAAAATTACTCAGAAAAAAAAGTTGCAGTTAAAAGTATTGTAACCTTTTCTCTTGGAAATGCATACCTATTTGGCTTCCAGGGAAAATTTTAAAATGAAATGCTCTAGTTGTTTATTATGCTAGGCAAGAAAGTTATTATAATTTTATTATGGTAACGCATACAGTATGCCACATCTAGAATGTATGCAGTGCTGCAAGGTCAGGTGCCTAATATCCCCACTGCTGTGTTTTACAACCCATACTGTTGGAATGCTAGGTGTTTCCTTTGTCATACAAGGGTTAGGTAAGGGAGGAAATATATTGTAGATATATCTATGGAATGGAATGAGATTTGACGGCTTTAACTATAGATAAACACTATAAAGATGAGTGTAAAGTTGCTGTACACTTTTGGTTTCTCTAGAGCCCTGGAAATATTTCTTAAATTGTTTCCAGTTTGTTCTGTGCCTATTGAGCAGGAAGAAATTTGTCTCATTTTTAAATGCAGACATATATTTAACTGATATCTTTGTGGTCTCAAAATACATTTTTGAATCTAAATATCAAGAGCTTGGATTAAATTCCAGTTCTTTCTTGGACATATTGGGTGTTCTTTTGGCAAACATATTGGGTGTTCTTTTGGCAAACCGTTATATGGAAATAGAGTTCTACATTGCAGGTTTGCTGTTAATATGATAGTTATTAATTCTAATACTAGACATAAGCATGTGTGAGCCTTATTTTTAATTGCTTTTTCAGCTTGTCAAGATTCCCAAAACTGATCTCCCAAATGAAGTGCATACCTTTAATTTCTATTTGTCACATGTTGGCAAAGATAATCCTCAGGGAAGTTTTGACTGCGTCCAGCAAACAGTTTCAAGGTAAAAAAGAAAGAAATTCTGACGGGGAACTGAAATTGTATTATGTTTAAAATAGTTTTATTATCTACAAACTAATTGCAATTCATAATTAAACAGGAATTCTACTCATTCAAGAAAACCCATATTCAAGTCCTGCTCTTAAAGATTATCTTTCTGTTGGAAGTCATCTTGTTTAGAGGTCACTGTGTTTGTCTTATGAAGATATCACATCTTCAGCTTCTGCTCTTTGATACAAGCTACTTCCCCTCTCTCCTGTACAGTTGCCATAATATTCTACCCAGTTTCCATTATATAGTAGAATGGTATTTGTTTCTGTAGCAGAAATACACGTGACTCTTAAGCTCAGACTTCTATAAAGGAAGACAGGAAAACTGTTTACCTTTGTTAGTCAGCCTACTAAAATGGAGAACGCACCCAGGAAATTACTGATGAATCACGCCTTTCCTATAGAATGGAATTAAAGGAATGCATGTATTGTCTGAAATGCATGGAAGAATTTCAGTATGCAATGTGATGGGGAGGAGTTGAGTTCTCTTAGAATCAGTTCTGGTTTCATTTTTTTGAAGACAGGCTCCTTCTACACTGCTATGTAATCCAGTTCAAAGCAGATAATATGGATTTTATATGGCACTGTAGAAGGGGGCACAACATACTGCTATCTTGACACAAGAGTTTATTGAAAATGTAGTTGGTATATGAATTACTGTCCTTTGTAAGTATTTGCTGTCAAAGCACCATATATGTTATGGTGATTTAGTGAGATATGGAGAATTTAAAGGACAGACCTTACAGGCATAGTTAGAGAGAACAAGCTCTGAACAAATCATAAGGTAAAAAGTAAAAGAGTTAAGAAAATAATTAAAAATAAAATTGATGGTGTTGTAATACCAGATTTATGGTGTGACCTCGTAAAACGACCTAAGAAAACTCAAAGAAATTCATTGAGTCACTATTAGCCACCATACAACATACACACCCATGCCTTGAATTCAGAATAAAGTTCTTGTTGTCCTGTTTCAGAAAAGAATAGTTTAGAGCCACAAAATGATAGCCAAATAACAAGAGTGGATTAAAAAATATTCTTTCTCTCCTGGTTGTAGAATTTAGGTTTTCCCAAAATACATTGATAGACAGTGGGCAAACCAAAGAAATGACTTACAGTTTAGCACTTCATAGGCATTTGGCAAATTCTCATTGACATTGGAAAAATTCACACAGGAGGGTCTGTCCAAAGCCATCAGTCATAAGCATTGTAATTAATTTCAAGGTTCTGTGGCAGCATGGTTCTGAATACAATCTCCCAGGGTTGGGAGGGATCAACAGCAGAGAAGGACTGTTACTTTCAAGCCCTTCTTTATGGACTTCCTGATGAAAGCAGGATCCGAAAGTAAGCAGATATTTGGTTTGGTGAAAAAGCACTGCTCTTATATCATCCCTTTAATTGCACTTTTGCTCTAAGAAACAAAATCAATTCTCTCTGTGGATCTGTACAAGCAAATTAGCCAGATTTATATTATATAACACCAACAAGCAGATGAAGGTTTTACAGATGATAACTTAGGTTTAAGTGACTAGAAAGCAATGGAATAGTATTTTAAGCTAAATTCTGAATGCAGTATCCAATGTATTTTTAATTTATTTTTATTTTTTACAATACTCCTTAGTACTGGATCTTCACAGCTCAGCTGCTTGGGAGTTATACAGGACAAAATTACAGTGTGTGCAACAAATGATTCTTATCAAATGACTAGAGAACGTATGACCCAGGCAGAAGAGGAGTCTCGTAATCGAAGTACAAAGGTCATAAAACCTGGTGGACCATATGTAGGTATGACTATATTTTGTCATTTTCTATACTATCTTGTTATAATAGTTAAGGTTTGTTATGTTGAGGCTTCAGTTGATCCTGCCTTAGGACAAAGGTCCTAAGGCTTTCCTTTCAAACAATGCCAACCTATTGGGAGTAAGAGCCTAAAATTGACCCAGTTCAGCTTTATGTCACTTTGTTCCTTGGCTGTTCATCACCTTCTTTACTGTTTTTTCATGCATGGCATGTGTAAAGTTGAACATATGTGAATATCCCACACCAGACAATGATGCTTCTATGTTTGGGATACTGCATACACATGGAGAAGTACACATGCCTACTGTTTAGGAGTCTTTTACAACGTGGTTGAAATAGGCACAGTTTTTTCCCCTTCTGAAATGTATAGTAACAGAAATAGATGGGCTTGTACAGAGGGATTTTAATTACCAAATTAAGTGTATGTACATTTGGACTATTCCATGATCCAGATATTACTAATACTTTAAGCTGCAGTTGGAGAATAATGGCATGTTAAATTTAGTGGTATATACTCTGTAGGAAGTAGAACCGTATGATTTCCTACATGCAAATTGTCAAATTGTGCTCTATCAGTTTTCTGTCAGCGCCGTTGTTTCTGGTATTAGCCCACTATCAACAATGTATACATTCTTTGTGTGGGTGCTATTCTAAACTGGTGTTATAAATGCATGGTAATGTTATTATTCCTGCCCTATGTGCTTAACCTGCCTGTTCTGGTAGAATGAAACTACTGCTCAGTCTCAATAAGCCCTTTTAAATCCTAGATGGAAATAAAATATGTAATTGATACCAGAATGACTTCAGTTCACCATAAGGAAAATAAATTCTTCTTTTATTCCATTCTAAACATGTAATTGTTACAAAAGATTGAGTGAAAGAATATGTGACAGTAAAGGATAGTTCAACAGAAAAAGTTCACTAGAAGAAGATGATGGAAACCATTGGTTGGAGATCAAGAACAATAATATAAGATGAAAAAAGAAAGGAATTAAGGCCCAGAGTCAGGGTTAGGCCTAGTGAGGAAAAAAGACACACACACACACACACACAAAATCAGAGAGACATGAAGAAAATAAAAAGTGGCTTTTAAGGATAAATGTTAGTTTACTGATGTTTGGTTAGGTCAGAGTGGAGCCCAAAAGATGTTGTTGAAGTAGGGCTCCCATCAGCCCTGCTAATCATAATTCACTGGTGTCATGGAAGCTGTAGCCTAAAAATATTCATTGGGCTATAAATTCTCCACTCCCCTTTGTTGTTTAGGAAAAACACTATTTTATTTTTTAGTTTTGTATTCATTCTGAAGGGTATATTCTGTAATTAGTGAAACTCCATCCCTTTTGCATTAAACATTCTCCTTTTAAGACAGTGTTTTCATTTTGTTAATTATTGTTGCCATTATATAAGAACTGTAGAAACATTTGTCTTGATACAATAGTTAACGCTAGTTAAGTTGCCAGTAGATTTCATAATAATTTGGGAGGCGTTTGTCAAAAGAAAATAAACACCCTGACTCATGTAAGCACTTGCATTGAAGTACTGGCTGAAACGGGGCCAATATATGGTTAGAGTTATAGTCTCTTTAAATAACGTTCATCTCTGTTTGCCTTACGTGCATTATTATAAAATGTAGATAGCACTGAAGGGTAATAGAGCCAACAGCAAGTCCACCTAGGTGTCTTACATATCCCTTTTATTTATTTTCAGGATACTGTGTTTTCTAGCCTAATCTATCTTTACCAAATACTAGGTTAGATGCAGAGTTGCATGAAGCAGCTAATACTTGATTGGGAGACTAGCAGGGAATAGCAGCAATCTCAAGATAGGGCTAGGAAGGAATCCTACCTAAAACCACGTAAAAACTACTACTTGTCAAGGCTGAACATTTTAGTCTAAATAAACCAGTTGTTTGACTTAGTGTAAGATAAATGCCTATGATTATGTGAAATTTTCTAAGAATAATAAACAAAAATCCAGGAGGTAGTAAGTAAATAATACTTTAATTTTATTAAGGAAATAAAGGTTACTTCTAAAAGTTGCCCAATATATTTATCTTTTTGGTTTTATTGTATGTCCTTTGCTATATTTACAAGTTTTAGAATTTGTAAAGTGTTAATAGCAAAAACATGGGGCCAATTCCTGTAAAACCTAAAACCTAGAGTCTGCAGTTAGAGGGATATGATTCACAGACAGAACTTTAGGTTCCCCAGGAAATTATGGTAGTCTAGAAGGACTTGGTTTGGACGTGTGCAGTTATGCTTCTGTGTTTGCTACTCAGCTCTTCCAATGATTATATGATAGTCATTTGGCAAGGTTTATTCCGAGGGGGTTACCGTTGTGTTTCCTTAGGTTGAGGCAGGATAATTTGCCTAAGGGTACCCCACAAGGTTCCATGGCTAAGTGGGGATTCAAACACTGGTCTCCTGGAACCTTGGTCAGCACACAAACCATTGCACCACTTTGTTTCTCACTTTAAATTACCTTGAACCAGTTTGGGCCAGGGGCCCTCCTTTTAGCCCAGCAATAAAGTCCAGAAAGGTGATAGGTCCAAGAGACAAAGTGTCTTCAGTGGTAACCCCCCTCCCCCTTCTTCTCTAGGGTTGAGCCTTAATCCCCTTATGTGTGTTTTAAAAACCTAGTTCATATTTGCTTTCACTTGGATTTGGCTTTTAAATTGAAAAAAACTATTTAGTTCAATTGTAGATATTGATATTGATTTGTATTTTAGTTTATAGTTTTATGGTTACTTGAGAGGATTGCATAGTGCTTAAAGATGGTCTAGTGGCAGGTACAATCAAAATGCAGTATTTCACCCCAATTGCCACTAAGCTGAAAGTATAGTACAATAGTCACTTTCCTGGAAAACTTTTGGTTTCACCACTGACACTTGGATTTGGCCAATCTGCCCACTATCACCGGATTGTTTTGACAACTGTATTTTAAAAAACTCAGTTGTAATCAGAGATGAGTAATTAATTACTTAGGCTTATTAACAAAAATTATAGTGCATTTTGTACATCACAAACATATTGTACAGAGTTCATTTAATTTTGAATCTAAGGTTAAATAAACCAAAATCATGTTCTTTGAATTCATGTAGGCTAGATACATGAAAATAATAACTTTAAATGATGATCTGTATAATCTATAAATGACTATGATAACATAAACTTGTGTTTGAGATGGTTTTTTCCTCTCTATTCAAAGTACTAATTATAGCAGCAAATTTTGGGTGTCTTACTTTTCTTAAATAGAATGTGATGGAAATGATCTTCTATATTTCACACACAGGTAAACGAGTACAAATTCGGAAAGCACCACAAAGTATTCCAGATGCAGTGCCTGAGAGGAAAAGGTCCACTCCCATCAACCCTGCAAACACAATACGCAAGACCCATACAAATAACAGTATTTCTCAGCGGCCATATAGGGACAGAGTGATTCACTTATTGGCTCTGAAGACATATAAGAAACCAGAACTCCTTGCACGTTTATTAAAAGATGGTGTTAGTCAAAAAGATAGGAATTCCCTTGCAGCTATTCTTCAGCAGGTAAGAATACTTGTTCTAAACGTTGACTTCTTCCTTGTTTTTATTACATTTAACAGGCATAGTAGGATGATTCAAGCCATTGTATATTGACTTAATAAATAGAGAATAACCATACAAAAGGTACTTTTGTCCAGTTTGGGAGGAAAAGTAAATTTATGCCAAGGGCATTGCACATGTCTAAATGTAGATTCAACACCTTCTTGCTAATTTGCATGTGAAAGGCTAGAATATTTATTAAAGTAAAGACAAATTGGAATAATTTCTTTTTGTGGTGCTTCAAAGCAGTACTATATATTTATATATGTATATATAATTTCAATTGATACTATCTTTGTATATTCAGTGATACCTTTGGGGTGAGCAGGTGTGGGGGGAGTGGTGAGCGGAGGGCAAGTAGTGGGTGAGTGGGGGGAGGGGCAAGTGAGGGAGGGAGGGTAGGTGAGTGCCAGCAAGCAGGAAGAGGGATGGCGAGGGGGGGGGTGAGGGCTCGTGTGCTAGGAGAGAAGGTGCTGTGTGCCCCTTCTGGCATGTGTGCCATAGATTTGCCACCACTGTTCTAGACTGACAACTAGAAGGTGCAGAGTTCCTTCCATGCAATCAGAACTCCAAAAGGAGTGGGTATTAAATCTCTTGTATATGTTAGATTATTTTCCTTAAATAGACAGATAAACATCCTATTATGGGTTCCAAGGTTGCCAGACTCTTATGCCCTGATCAACTTCTAATTCTCCAAACTGGTCATTTTAGTACTTAAGGTATCCCAAGGTTCCCACTGTATCCTGCTAAGCAAGGACATGGATCCTGTAACTAGACTCTTGTTCTTGTTAGACCACTGGAGTTTCACAGAAATCAAAGTTGTTAGTTTGAAATGTCATTTTATATTGATTTAAAAAAATGCTTGATTTAGAAGTATCCCCCCCCCCTTTTGTTTGGTATTGAGGTTGTGCCAATTTATAGTAACAGATAAAAAGTCTGGGGAAAAAGGGAAGTTGTGCCCTTTCTGTTTTGTTTTTTTCAGTGAGTATACGTGCTTTCAAACCCTGCTACTGCAGGGCTTTGGCTCAATGAATGCCAATTTTGGTTTTTTTAAATAAAAAAACTTTTGAATAAGTTTTAATGTGGGTATTAAAATACTTTTAAATTGTTTATTCTGTTGTGATCCAAACACTTTTACACAGTACCAATAGTTTCCTTTCAGTGCTGTTTTAAAGATACGTATTTCCTTTAATTGTCTCCTTAGTCTTACTTATATTGTTTTAATCGGTATTGTAAATCACTTTAGGTGCAGTACTGAGGGAAAGAAAGGATATAAATTAAATGGTTTAGCTCAAAATCAAGACAAACCTGAATCATCTTAGAATTGTGTGGCATATGTCGTTTAATTAAAACTGGCTGAGAGATCATAAAACAAAGCTTGTGATTTGTTTTCTGTGAGGCAAAGAGACCATGAAAGATGACCAACATTAGTTTTGTTCCAAGTGCGACGATAAAAGAATTCCAACTTGTAAAAATGTTGTCACTCTTCTTTCTGCTGAAACTATGCAAGATAACTAAGCAGTCATTTTCAGCAAGATTGCCTGAGTGTCACTGCAATACTATTGCTTTGTTTCTAATGCACCAGTTTTCACTGCCAGAGAAGCAACCTGTTTGTTTATTTATTTATTTATTTATTTATTTATTTATTTATTTATTTTTCTATTAAACAGCAGTTTGCTTCTTTGGAAACTACTCTGCCAAGAACAATAAGCAAAGCTCCAGCTTCATGTACAATTCTCCCCTGCATATGCAGATCTTTTCTTTGGATCCTTGCCATGGTTTAAACATCTAGGATACAAAAATAACATTTTACTGGTTCAAGTTGAAATGTGATTCCGGATATAATTTTCTCTAGTTCCAGTTTAGAGTAGGTCATATAATGAAAAGAGGCAAATGATGTTACTGGAATAAACACATGTGGAGCCAGTGTGGTGTAGTCGTTTAAACATTGAATTGTGATTCTAAAGACCAGGGTTCAAATCCTCAATCAGCCATGGAAATTATTTATTTATCTATTAATTTTATACCCCGACTTTCCCCAATCAAAGGCCCATGGCAGCTTACAACCAGTAAAAACATACAATATAAAAATTAAAAAAAAAACAAGTTAAAACCATAAATATTAACAAATGCTATAAAACTAATTGAAACCCCAATAAAATACTTTAAAACCACCCTGATAATACGTAACAAAGTTGAAGGGTCTTCCTAACTTTTGGATATCACTAGTTTTCTCCAAAGACTTCCTTGAAAAGCAGGTTTTTAGGCTCTTTCTGAATGCCAACAAAGGAGGTAGAGATCTAACCTCCCCTGGGAGGGCATTCCAAAGACAGGGAGCCACTCCCAAAAGGACCCCTCTCAGGAGTGGTTCTCTCGGCCTCAAAGTAAGGTAACGACAAACCCCTTCTGAACAAATCTGGCCAAAAAAACTCCATGATAACCCTGAGGGTCCACACATGCCCACACATGATCTTGGAACTACATAAGAGGAACAGAACTTGTAGACAGTCATATGTGCCTTGGGAAATCATTTAAAATGATTACTATAATGTATGGGAAGACTTCAAAACAGGGATATGACTATCCAATATAAATGTAGTAGAGCATTTTAAACTACACCCTCGGATTGTAAATTATGCTTGTATAGATGAGACTGCACAGTTGTTGCTTTTGTTCCAGAATCAGGTAAATAGCTTGAGCAAGAATCAACCATATTCATTTTTAAACCCCGCTAAGTTTTTTTAATACTGGACAAAATCTGGCTACCAATATTAAACAACTTTCAAGTCAGGACAGTAAATAAAGAACAATACTCAGAAAACAGGGAAATTCCAGACAGGAAACAATCAGAGCCAGCTAACACCTTCCAACAAAGGATTCTGCCAGGCAGAAGCAGCCAGGCTTTGAAGCTGCAAGGCCATGCAGTGCCAATCAAGGTGGCCAATTGCAACATTCACACTTGCCTCCAAAAACAAGAGTTCTTTCTCCCATCCTGGACATTCCACAGATATATAAACCCCACCTGCCTACTTTTCCAATAGACCTCACACCCTCTGAGGATACCTGCCATAAATGTGGGTGAAATGTCAGGAGAGAATGCTTCTGCCACATGGCCATACAGCCCAGAAAACTCACAGCAACTCAGTGATTCTGGTCATGAAAGCCATCGACAACACATTCCTTTACCCTTTCCTAATTACCTCCCCTGTCATAAGATTGCCAAACAAAACATAATTAACAACCGGTGTTAAGATCAGTCAGGGACTTTTCCATGGTGACATCCCCCCAAAGAAAAATCTGCCAAATCCAATTGTTTGAAGCTTATCAGAATGAAACTTTGTATTTTATAAATGCTTGAGCTCAGCTGGCTAACTTATTTCTGCTGCTGTCTTACTGATAATGTATAGTGATATTTAGTATTTATTAATTTTATATTCTTATAATGGTTTGTTGTAAAAGTTCTGATAAATTGAAGAGTGACAATTTGAGCTTTAAAATTGGCCACAAAGGCTATAAGGATTAATTCATTAAAAATCAAGAATGTGTTCAGCAAGTATACTGAATGTGTTAGATTTCAAGTGCAGTTATGTTGCTGATAATGGCTACTCTTTGTATCTTTCCTTGTATCCATAGGTAGCCAATTTGAATCCAAAGGACAACTCTTACACACTAAAAGAACATGTTTATAAGGAAGTTCAGAAAGACTGGCCTGGATACAATGAAATAGATAGGCAGTCGCTGGAATTAATACTTTCTCGGTAAGTTTGTTTTAGACTACAAAGAGAAAATTCATTTACTTCCAATAGACAGTAAGATCTGCTAGAATATCATTAACTTGATTTTCTTGTAATCTGGCATGTGGATGATCTTTACAGAAAACTGAATTCATCTCAGAATGCAACCAGCACCGGTCATTTGGATTCTCCTGTCAGTACTATTAAAGAGGCTGCTTCTCCTTCTCAGGTATTTCATTTGTCACTATTTGTATCATGCAGTAACACCCCACATGTGAAATGTTGATGTGTATGAATTAGTGGAGGAGAGTTGCATCTCATGAGCAGATACATGCTTTGAAACATACATTGAAAAACCTTCAATATATTGTCGAAGGCTTTCATGGCCGGAATCACTGGGTTGTTGTAGGTTTTTCAGGCTGTATGGCCATGTTCTAGAAGCATTCTCTCCTGACGTTTCACCTACATCTGTGAGGATGCCTGCCACAGACGCAGGTGAAATGTCAGGAGAGAATGTTTCTACAACATGACCATACAGCCCAAAAAAACTACAACAACCCAGAATTAACTTCAGCTTGAATATAAATTATGTAATTCTGCATTAGACTTTATTCATTGTCAAAGCTCAAAAGTTTCTGTTCCCCATATCAGGGGTGGGGAAAGTGTGGCCTGTGGACTGCATACAGCCCCTGCTTGGCACTTTTGACCCCCAGGGGTCAAAAAACGTTTCCAATTTTCAGAGTGGTGTGTAGTATGGGTTTAGCCCCCCAGCCTTCAATAGTTGCCTAGTTTGCTATAGATACTAAATTATGAGTCATCTTCTTTTTTTATTGGACTTTTTTCATTTTGATTCTCATTTCTTACTTTTCCCTACTACTATGAGGAAGCCTTTCAGCTACAAGATTCAATAACCTAAAAATAGGATAAAATAAAGCAACAAGTTGGCAATGTCCCAAAGCTCCTTTGTGGCCTATGCTAGAAAGCACCAGAACTAGTCCTATTCTCATGATTGTCAGTACTTTACAGGGAGGGCTTGTTGATACATTGGTACTACAGAAAAATGGGAGAGATTAGATGTGGAATTCCATCCTTTTTATACACCCAGGGTCTCTTGTTGTAGTATGTTGTTTGGTCTATTTCTAGCCCATCCATAAACACTGAATTTCTTAGCGTGATGAGCAGATACATCATTACTGCATTATAGCTGTCACTGGTTAAAAAATAGGTATTTCATTTTGAAATAAAACATTGTCTCCTTTTTATTAGAGGTTTTTGAGAACATTAGTTACATTTGGTTGCAATGTATATCAAAACAAAAACATTACATATAGATATGTGTGTGTGTATAGTTTCAATATATACTAGTATTGTATGTCTTAGGCACTTCTGATATACTCTGAAAAGAAAATATTATGTTGTGGATGTTTGAGGTCTAACCTATAGAGTTGTATTAACAGATTATGTGGAAATCTGTGTGCTTATTGATATGAGTCAGGCTTGGGATGCAACCCATTCAGCTACTTGAGCTCACATGCACCTGGCATAGATTGTATTTCCAGTTTGGCAGCCCTGAACCACCAAATCACTAAAACATTGCAATTTCAAAATAGGATCTGCAGTTTTCTCTGGAATTGCTGATTTCGCACAACAGCATGCAGCTTGAGTTTATTAGCATGTTTTTTTGCATGTATTCAGAGCTAGTGCAGTATAGTGGTCTGAATGTTAGACTAAGATGCTGCTCAGTCATGGAAAACCTATTAATTGACCAGAGGCAAGTCATGTTCTTTAAGTCTCTTAGGAAGACAAGGAAAAGCCTTGCCCTGTAAAAAAAATATTGCCAAGAAAACCTGTGATAGGTCCACCTTGGGATCATCATAAGCCAGAAGTTACTGAAGGTGTACAACGACAGGTTTTTTTTAAAAGTAAAAAAAAAATCTCCCGAGGGAGAATGGCATTAGGACTGGTCTTCACAAACCAATATTGGAATATTCCTATCCAGCTCAGCATGGCTGGCCCTGCCATGCAGAAAGGAGAAAAGCCTATTCACAGAGATACATTAAAATTGAAGAGAAAAGAACACATTCCTGGCCATACGCTATCTGGCTTCAGCTGACGAGAAGTGTAGTCTGGAGGACAGCAGAATCTAAATCCAATTACTAATCCAGATAAAGTAGATCAGTTGAACTAACAGGTTTGCATAAATGCTGGTTTACCATTTAGCAGCTGATGCAGTGTGTCTGCTGTAGTTAAGACTAGAAGTTTGATTTACACCCAGCTGGTCTATTCATAGAGTAAATAACATAATGAACTTTCATCTGAATGGTGGAGTAAAACTTTTTGAAAGTGCTGGCCCTGTGAGGGGTGGGGCTGTTTGTTCTGATTCAGGTCACAATGTTATGTAAACAAGAGAAACAAAACCAAGAAAACTTCTTTGTAAACAAATAGTACAATAGTATCTCAGGAGGATTTTCCTACTCCATGGCTATCATGTCTGTTACATGGACATCCGGATTATGACAATATACTGTAAATCATTTTTGCTTTGTAAAGAAAGGAGGTATCACCTTACAGAGACATGTGCTGTGAATTTGAAATGCACACAGGCTTGAAATTGTATTACAGTGCAGAAAACATTTGTATAGTACTTAACATAGTTCGAGATAATTTACACTTGACAAATTAGCTCTTTTTAACAGTTGTATATGCCTCACTTTATTGTAGAAACGGCTTTTGGATTCTGACTTTATCGATCCTTTAATGATTAAAAAACCAAGGATATCTCACCTTACCAATAGAGTTCAACCAACACTAAATGGGCACTTGACTGCTTCCGGTGAAAAAAATGCTGAAGCTTCTCAGCAACCACCTCCCCCTGCAGTTGCTGCAACGCTGGCTGCTCCTCCGCTCCCTCCCACTTGCCTCCCTGCTTCAAACCCTCCTCAGACTGTCAATTCTAACTCCAATTCCCCCAGCACTCCTGAAGGCCGGGGCACGCAAGACCTGCCTGTTGACACTTTGAGTCAGAATGGGAGCATGTATGAGGACCAGCATCAAAAATATACTTCTAGGACTCCACTGGAAATCTCAGCACCTGCTGAAGCTCTGTCAGTGTGCCCAAAGACTGCAGATGAGAAACATTCAGTGTTGCACAAAAAGTCCAAGAAAAAGTCAAAGAAGCATAAGGAGAAGGACCAAATCAAAGACCACAACATTGAGAATGCTGCAGAAATAGAGAAAGACTGTGAAAGCAAAGATATTTCCAAGCTGAAGAATTCCTGTCAGAAACTAAGTGAAGGTAATGTTATTGCTGTTGGCTTTGAATAATCATGGCAACTGGGCCAGATTGTTACTGTGGCATGTGGGATATTTGATTTCTGTAGTGACTCAGTGTTTCAGGAAACACAAGGTACAGATGAGGAAGTTTCTGACCCTCTCTGCTCCAGTAAGTAGGCATTCTTGTTACCTGTGTAGGATGGGACCAAGCTCATAGAAATGGTGTGTCAGGACAAGGGCACATTATTGATAATACAGGAATGTGGCCTTGTCTCTTACATTTGCCTCAGTTTGAAGGCAGGTGTCAAAAATTCAGAGCTGTATGAACATCAGATATGAGCACATATGAAGAACATTTATGAACATATGCTGATCTTTCATCCAAACAGTTTCTTTAGTTGTCTGAACTACATCTTTGTAAACTTGTTTTTCTAAGGCAGGATCAGGCAACCATGTGAGCTGCATATGGCACCCTCCCTTGTTAATCTCTTCCCTTGTTTTTTTTTCTGTCGTGCAGAGAATGTATACTGTATTATAAATGAGAAATGAATAAGAGTAAAAATGTCCTTCAGTTTGTGCCACCGGGATAATTTGGTGGTGTGTCAGGATAGTGCTAACTGTGTGTGGTGCTATTGTGTTCATGGGAACAGCCCTTTTCTAAGGTTTTTTACTCAGTTTATTGTAAGAAAAAATTCAATATTGGACAGTTCATGGGATGTAGTAAGTCCTGCCAAGCCAAATAACAATAAATGACAATCACATTTGTTTTATCTTATTACTCAGATCAGCAATATTGGTATTCATTTCTTTCTATTTTATCCTATAAGTAATAGAGTTAGAATAATACTGAAATTAATGGTAGTAAGTAAATTCATTGTACGATGATCTACAAAGTTTGAGTAGCCTTAGGAATTGAAAAAATGTGATCAATTGATACGCTAGATCAGGGGTAGGGAACCTTCGGCCCTCCAGGTGTGGTGGACTTCAACTCCCACAATTCCTTGAGGCTCGGCATTCGCCCCAAAGGCTTACACGAGCCTCAAGGAATTGTGGGAGTTGAAGTCCACCACACCTGGAGGGCCGAAGGTTCCCTACCCCTGCGCTAGATTCTTTGCGGAGATGTGTCGTTTTTCCATTCAATACATTTTTCATGTGTTCAGTTTGACGTCTCTATAATATACAGACCATATGAAACACTGAGGGCAGGAGCTTATAGGGTATTTCTATTAATTGAAGCCGTTCACAGTGGAATCAGAAGAGAAGCAATAGCTCTTTGTCCAGCTGACCCCCTGCATCCTAAAAACAGAGAAAGGGGTTTCCAACCCTTTGAGCTGGTTCCTTGGCAACATGGAGATTTGGAGTGAGGAAGATTTTTTTTAAAAAAATACACTCATGGTATGAAACAAGGCAGTAAAAAGTCCTTGTGCTACACAGAACATTGCATTTAGCTTTCAATTCCATAGTTGTAATTACAGTTTTTGAGTGCCCCTAAATTTCTTGTGCTAAAACCTGACCACCTGTATCTTACCTTCTCTGACATGAGACCAGAAGAACTTGACAACAGAAATTGTAAGAAGTGTTCAAAATAAACCACTGTTATTAAAATCAGTATTTTACAATCGCAATACAATATTTTAAAAGTTTGTATCACACTTCCTAGAACCAAATTTTGCTGTGAGCCATTATAAAACTCTCCAGAGTTAACTGAAATGTTGATTTACAGCTTTGTGAACAAATCCCTGCTCAAGCATACTGCTGACTGGATTTAATAGATTTCCAATTCACTGAGGCTTATGACATGGTTGTCTTAGTTGGGGCTTCAGTCAGCTTGAATCTGCTTTGTTTAGCAGCACAGGCTGATAATAAAGATCCCCTTGCTTGTTAACACAGGAACAAAAGTCCAGGTTAGAAAAGGGGGGAAATGTTTTGCGTTAATTAGAAATTTAAAGTAATTTCAAGGGTCTTCAGAATGTTTTAGCATCTACCAAATTAGGAAAGAGAGATCTTATCAATGTATGTAATACAGCAAAATACACAGAAATGCACTCATCCCTTGGGTTTCATCTCTTCTATTCATGCAAGATGTACTTTAAAATCCAAGCCAGTGTTTTTATTCCTACTATGCTGATACTAAGAGGTACAATCAAATTCATTGCAGTTTATCTTATTTTATGGATTTTACTACATTGTATTTTTAAATAAAATCCATAATAATATATACATGTCTACAAGTCTGCGTGGCTGATGAAAGGGGCAAATGAATAGAAAGAAAAAGGGGCTTGGCATTCCACCCCATTGTCTTTTATTGCATTCTAATGAAAGCTGGATGTTGATATAAAACTCCCATCGCCTATTGTCTGCCAACATCTGCTGCAAAAGTTCTTGAATTGGTGTGCAGATGCCCTGACTTGTCCTGAAATAATGCACAACTGACCTTGGGTTAAAACTAAATTGCTTTTATTGTATGCAATCTGATGTTGCCTCTGCATTTTATCTTCCTGCTGTGGACTGTTTTGAATTTGTCAGAAATGTTCATTGGTTTGCTGTACTTCTAACTGTCTCTTAAAACAAATCCATAGAAAAACACACACTTGCAAATCAAATCCGGTTCGCTAGGAACAAATGGTAAAACTGTTAAATCTTCCTTATAGGTGTTAAAGAGACTTGCACTGCCTCCACAGATCCTTTGTCAACAAGTGAACTACCGGACTACTTTGTGTAAGTAGGATACTGCTAAAGAAAGGTAGATGGGGTAGTGTGAAACAGTATATTTAGTGTTTCTCAAATACTTTCAGAGTTTGGAAGTTACAAGGCTTAGAAATGGGAAAGATACACTAAAACATAGTACTGTTGCTTATGTTCCAAATAAATTAAATGCTAATCACCCCCTCACGCTCTGCTGAGAAAATATTTTATGTTAGTGTCACTTCAGACAGAACTTGAGAATGTAGTTAATGTTTTTCTTTACTTTTAGTATTTTCATAATAAAACAGTAAGAATATCAATATTTCTTGGATGGCTTATCTAACAGACAAAGGTGTATGTGGATACTACCATCTTCTTTCCGTTGGAATTCAACTCCACACTGCCCAAGTCTTAAGTCCTCAATGAGGAGCAGTTAGTTAGTTTAGGGAATTCTCTTCCTCCATGTCTCCTGTTTGACAGTTGGAATGTATCTAATTTCTTCTCTCCTCTCTGTTTCTGCTCTCATTCTGATTGGTTGAGTAGAATGGATACTTTTCTACTTCGAGCCCTTTGAACATGACTTTCGCCTTTTATATCTTGAATATATGCTGTGTGCTTTGAGATCTCTCTCTGTTTGTGTGTCAGGAGAGATGTAGTGATTTGTAATTTTCCCTTCTCTTTGAACCTTAGAAGAGATGGATGTTAGAGTAGCTCAGATCCAGTTCTTTAACTATTAAGAAATTTGGTTATTATTCTTATCTCTGTAAATAAGCCTTTTGTGATTTTTAAGACTGGACTCTGCATGTCTGTCTCCTAAACTTTGAATTCTTTACAGTCACATCCATCGGCACATCATGCTTTGCTTGCTGTGAACAAATGCTCAACTTCAAGCATCCTGTATGATTTTTGGGTGCTCTGCTGTATATTTTAGGGTAATTTTTCCCTAACATTATCTTGCTATAGTGATTATTCTTTCAGACATTTTTGAAAGAGTAACTTTCCCCTTCAGTTGAAATAGTACAAATCTAAGACATTTCTAAATATTTGCTGTGGGGCCTTCTGGGTCTCTTTATTCCATTGTGAAATAGCTAATTGCTTCCAGTTCTCTCTTGCCGACAATGTGGCAAGTAGGAAATATTCACATTTATTTGTATACTGATGGTAGTATTCACATCCACCTTTTTCTGCTAGACAAGCCATACTCAGAAGAACTTATAGTGCAAAAAAATAACAATTTTAAAATATTAATACCAAGCAATCTCACATAGCTCCTTGACACTGTACAACTCTGATTTGGATGTACCGGAGCTTACTTTGACAAGCATCTCTCACTTTCTGTCATTTCTGTCATTAGTGCTGGGTGTTTGCAGTGTTTTAATAATATTTAACATTCACATGCTCCCCTCAAAAACATTTTATCTTGCTGTTGTTCACTTTGTCTGTAGCAGTCCATGTGACGTTTAATAACAGTGGTATCTCTCACCTGATGATGGCTCTAATGTCAGACAAAATTATATGGTAATCCTTAATAATCAGAGTAAGTGGTAGGGAGTTGAAATGAGACTGGGGATAATGAGAATGGAGAAGGAATATAGTAGACATACAGCTACCAGTACAAGAAAAAGGCTCCAGTTAGCTTGTGCGCTGTATGAGGAAGGGAGTTTCTTTGGACAGGGCAAGCTTGTCTTGTCTTTAAAAACATGAAAAGTTGGATTATGATAGCAAAACTCCCTGTGGACTTTAAATCATTGAAATTTTAGACAAAAGTTCCAAGAATTTACTTTAAAAATGAATGCAATACTTAGGAGATGGTAAAGCGCTTAGTCCCAGCTTCTGCCAACCTAGCAGTTTGAAAACATGTTAATGTGAGTAGATCAATAGGTACCGCTTTGGCAGGAAGGTAACGGTGCCCATGTAGTCATGCCGACCTTGGAGGCATTTATGGACAATGCCAGCTCTTTGGCTTAAAAATGGAGATGAGCACCACCCCCAGAGTCATACACTTAAAGGGCTTTTTAAACACTCGACCAGTTCAACCACCCATGCTGATGATACTAGTATTAGATTTTCCACTCTGAGTCGCCTTTGGGCTGAAATGGGCGGGATAGAAATAATGTAAATAAAATAAATAAATAAATTTCCCAGTGAACAGTATATAGAAAACTCTTTTGCATTATACCGAGCTTCCACAGGTGCAAATCTATCTCTAGATTTCTTTTAAACTAATTATCAAATTAGTTTAGTGCTGATAGTGAACTTCTACAGAAAAACAATGCTAAAACATCCACTTGCTAATGTTTAATATGTCCTGTTTCAAATGGTTTCTCAAAGGCCAGCGAAAAAAAAGCGCCTCTCAAAAGCCTCTTGGTGCTAGTGTATTACAAATGACTTCCTTTTACCACCACCGGAGGCTGGGAATCTTAATGTGTGCAGTAAACCTAAAAATCAATGCTTGGTGGAAAGAGCAGTCTGTGCTTTAGAATGTTTTGAATTAGAGTGCTGACACTTTAACCAGCAGTTCTCATTTGTTCTCTTACAACCCAGCAGTGATAGCGCAATTCTTAATCATGTTCACATGACCCTTGTCTCTGGAATCACCCTGTCTGCACATGTCTAGTATATCAGCATAGTGCCCCTGTTTTATTTTATTTGGTCTCTCTTTTGTGCAGTACAATCTGATGAAATTGTATCTTGCACTTGAGTAAATTTATTTGCAAGTGTAGCTTACAGTTGCTTTCCTGAAATACCGTAAATGCCAGCAACTACAGGAAACAATTAAATGTTTAAATGTTTGGAGGAAGTGCATTTTCTCCAAACAGTGCCAGCCTTCTACATTTAGTTTATTTACAAGTAGCGCATTGATAATAGGGAGCTTTGACAGAAGAAAAAAGTCATTTTTGAGAAGTAGTATCAAAGAAAAAGGGGATGTGTCCTTAAAGAAATGTTCTGGGTGACAAGAGGTGGCAAGAAAGAAAAAATGGAGTCATTTAAATAAGTAACTAGCTTTCAAGTTGCTGAGGAAAGATGCAAAGACCACATTTAGCAATATCTTGGGATGTAAGTGTAGAGAAATGGGCAATAACCTCCAGCAATAACAGTATAACTCACTACTTCCAAGCCCTGTCATAAAGTATGGGGATCCAAGTTGAGACAATCAGAAATCAAAGGGCAGATTTAGAATACTGTTTCTTCTATTTTACGGTAATCCAGTACAGCAAGACGCTTGAATAAGTGCAATATTTCCTTTTCTGGATCAGTCAGGTGCAGAGGAGCAATGTGTGTCTTCCTCTTGATAAGACTAGAGCTTCTTTGAAGCTTTAAGTGGTCCTTAAGCCTTAGCCGCTCAAGTGGATGGTTAACTTTCTTAGTCCAGCATATGTATGAGTTACTAACTGTGAGAAAGCATGGTAGGTTACTTGTTTTACCTTTATGAAATACACTAATGAAATATAGACAGATTTTTAAATCATCTGGTTTTTTTTATTTTATTAGTCTATGCTTCTGTATGAAATCTCCTCACCTTACAGCATGACAGGGAAACTAGAGTCCCAAAGGCTGCCTTTGAAGCCCCCAGTACCCATATTTTTTTCAAAGTAGGCTTTGAAAGCAATTTTGTCACATTTCTGTCCAGTTGTTTTAGGCAGCAGTGCCAAACAGGCTGAGTTTGACTTAGTTGGCCAAAAAATATTTTGAAACAAGGGAGTGTCAGCCCTCCAGAGCTCCATGATGGGCAAATGCAGCACCCAACCTTTGGTGCTTGTGTATGGTGTTTGTGAACTCTTGAACAAAATAGACACGTTACATTAAATTAAGCCTGTGTGACGACAATTAGATGGTAAGAATAATATGATTCTGCATATGACATGGAATTCCAGATTAGTAGTGGAGCTGAACAAATAAAAGGTTAGGATGTTAAAATAGAGCAATACACCTTTTAAAAATGAAAATAGTATGAATTGAAAATCTTGTTTCCCTGAATATCTTTTTAAAACAGAAAATATATAGCAATTGTCTCATATGAACAGCGACAAAGTTACAAGGAAGATTTCAATGCGGAATATGATGAATACAGAACCTTGCATGCAAGGGTGGAGAGTGTTACTAGAAGATTTATGAAACTAGATGCACAGCGTAAATTGGTTTCTCCAGGATCTAAAGAGTACCAGGTAAAATCTATTTTCTATCTTCCACTGACATCATTATAATTCTTTCTTCATGGGTTATATCTCTCACCTATAATCTCGTTATATTAGACGTTCCCACTACTTCCTCAGATCTTTTGACTGCACCATATGGGCACTAAATCGATGCAGCGAAGATACACAGAGCAGTTTGTAGAACACTTGTAAGAATTCCTGCTCTGTATAGATTTTGGTTCAACCAGATGGTAGAGATCTGAAAGATTTTTCTTTAGCAACTTTGCATTCAGTGGCCAAATTTGAGTCAGTAGGGGTTTATTTTAGAATTATTTATCAATAATGGATTGAATTTTTCCCACAAAATGTTTCAGAGCGTATGCAGAAAATGGTTTCAATTAATGTTCTCTGATTCCAAACTACTGTATATACTCAAGTATAAGCTGAGTTTTTCAGCCTATTTTTACGCTGAAAAGCCCCCCCCCCCCCCAGTTTATACTCGAATCAGTTATTTATTATTTTATTCTATTATTATTGGAATGATACGTAAGCACATTTACGTTGAAGAAGGTTAGAATAATGGTTTAATCAGAGTTGGACAGTCTTATCTTAAATTACAGTTTTATGTAAACATTCAAAAGCATTTAATCTCCTGATGCCTCAATTAATGTAATTTTATTGGTATCTATTTTTTATTTTGAAATTTACCAGTAGCTGCTGCATTTCCCACCATCAGCTTATACTTGAGTCAATATGTTTTCCCAGTTTTTTGTGGTAAAATTAGGTGCCCCTGCTTACATTCCGATCGACTTATACTTGAGTATATACAGTATGTAAGGTTGATGGGAATTGTAGTCAAAGGATATCTCGAGGTCCACACTTTACCAATCTCAGTTTGGGGGAAATAGGTTTGTACCTTCGCCTTGCTGTAAGATGAATGTGTGGCCAGTGATTTAATCATAACAAATCTGACTGAAAAATGATTTAATTGAAAGCAAAAGGGTTTAGCAAGATTACCAACGTTCACAATGGGTTAATTTCAACCAAGTTCCCTGTATACTTAGCTCTTCTGAATTCATACTGCACAGTTGTTTGGTCTAAAATACTACAGAGTTAAAAAGAACTCTAGTATTTTAGACCAAACAAATGAAGACATTTGTTTGGTCTAAAATTTCTAGTTCAGAAGTTATTTTTTGCTTTAATAGCGACCCTTTGTTCTTCGTGACTGATTTCCTTGTTGCTAACTGTACCACTAACTGTATGAGCTTGTCAAGAGTTTTTCTAACTATAATGCTAAAGGTGGAAAGAGTTCAGTAGAATGGAAAGCAAGGTAGGAATATATTGCCTGAATTTTCTTGTTTTATTTTGAGTGTATTGTGTATTTAGGTCTCTAGAGTTATAGTCTAACACTAAGACCAGTATACCATACGTAGTAGCTCTCAATAAACAACCGTACTTGCTTACCTTTGTAGATTCTTCATGAGGAAGTTTTCAAGGAATACCGGAAGATCAAACAGGTTTGTATTGTTTATACCTAATTATTATATACTGTATACCTATAAAACTGTTTGCTATGCTGACAGAATAGAATTATAGAGTTCGGATTTAGCATTACAAAAGCCTAAATCCTGTACTCCGGCTCCTCGGTATAAATATCTAGTGCTGGCTTAACCTGATTTTAAACCTCTAGTGAAAAAGCTTCAGAACCATATTAAGGCAATATATTTAATGAAGCGTATTTATTAAATGTATGAAGCTGTTGGGAAATGGCTTCTAAACTTACCATGTTAAATCATGGCCACTCGCCCTATCAGCAATAAGGATTACTGTATATTGTACAGAACTTATTTTTCAATCCAAATTGTTCAACTTGTATGAACATTTAGGCTTTTTTGGAGTGCCAGTTCTGTTACTTGCCTGTGAGTTTCGGTGAAAGTTGCATCAGTGGTCTCTTTTTCATTGATGCAAGAAACTGAGAAAGTCATCAGTGGCATAACACTCAACTAACGTGTTCGATGTGTTCCCATGAAGGATGTTTGTGCTTATCTCAGAATTGCTGGGATCTAATGCATAGACTCATAGATGTGGAAAAGATGACACAGGCCATCCAAGCCAACCCCCTGCTATGCAAGAATAGCACAATCAAAGCACCCCAAACAGATGGCCATCCAGCCTCTGTTTAAAAGCCTCCAAAGGAGAAGCCTCCATTATACTCCGGGGCAGAGAATTCCATTGCTGAACCGCTCTTACAGTCTTCCTAATGTTCAAGTCGAATCTCCTTTCCTGTAATTTGAACCCATTGCTCCAAGTCCTAGTCTCCAGGGCAGCAGAAAGCAAACCTGCTCCTTCTTCCTTAGGACATCCATTCACATATTTATACATGGCTATCATGTCTTCCCTCAATATATCTTCTACTTCATATACACATTTGGTTAGAGTGCAGACCATCTGCCCAGGTTTCATGTCAATTAGTCTTGAAAGTCTCCATATGAGCTGAATACATTTTTGTCCTGTATCCCAATTCCATTTTCAAAACAACTTCTGGCAAGCTGAGAACTCTTCCAAGTTCTCTTGCCAGCTGCATCAAGCAGTAATAACAGCCAAGCCTCATTATTTATCCCAAATATTCAAAATTTTAAGTATTGGTCTGTAAACAGTGAAAATGTTGGCAGTGACTTTGTGGTTGTAATTGACCATATGTCTCTCCATATGTGCTCTCCCAAATAATCTGCTCAAAACCAAAGCAGGAGTTCCATAGAGTTCTGTAGAGCATCTGCATGGGTTATGTTTCTCTCATCACATTTTTAGTCCTGAGCACACATTACTTAGTAAGTGATGTGAACTTTGAGACAGGATTAAAGGAATTTGGTTGTCACTCAGATCTGTGAAAAAGCAAACTGTATAGAGCTGACCAAACTGCCTCCGGGGAATTACAGGAGGAAAGATGCAAAAAGGACTTGGAGAAATATGGTTTGAGAAAGACTTTAGGTGCATCAGAGGATGAGAGGTTTAATTCCTGCTATCTTCTCGAGGCCTAACTAGAGATTAAGGGAATGAGAAAAGACAAGAGATCGCCCATCCACTCAATCCCTAAATTTATATGACACAGAATTCTGGCCTTAAAAAATAATTTCAGCTAAGATATAATTTACTGCCAATAGAAAGTTTGCATTTTCCATTAGTAGAATCCAAACATTATCTAAACGTCATTAAAATCAAGACATTAACTGAAGCATTTACTGTATTGTTTTATTTCTTCAACTGGGATTTACAAGTACTTAACATTCTCTGTATGTACTTTATGCCTCTAGAATGATTTTAAAAAATTGAATCAATTCATCTCTGTTCAACCTCTCGGTGCATATAGCTCTAAAGACAGCAGAAGAACTAAAGTGTGGCCTGGCCGTTCTGTGGGTTCACATGAGCATGGTGACCCATATGTCATGTGCCACAGTCAGAAAATTACAAGATGGCTGTATCTGCGGAAAGAGTAGTCCAGACCCACCATATTTTTAAACTGTGAACCTTGGGTGATCTGCAGATTGCTTTCTATGTTAGTTTTTCCCCCAGTAAACTACGCTTGGTTCTCCTAGTGACAACTGTGTGCGTGTATGTGCTTTCAAGCCACCTGTAGACTGGGTTGCTGTAAGTTTTCTGGGTTGTATGGCTATGTTCAAAGAAGTATTCTCTCTTGACATTTTGCTCACATCTATGGCAGGCATCCTCAGAGGTTGAGGGGTCTGTTGGAACTTTCAACAGACCCCTCAACCTCTGAGGATGCCTGCCATAGATGTGGGCAAAACGTCAGGAGAGAATGCTTCTGGACCCTGGCCAGACAGCCTGGAAAATTTACAGCAACCCAATGATTCCGGCCATGATAGCCAAATGCCTGTTGACTTATGGCTAATCCAAAAATTTGATTTATTTAAGCCAGGAATCCTTAGTTTTACCAACTCCTTCCTTTGAAATACAGCTTACTGTATATACTTGAGTATAAACATAGTTTTTCAGCACATAGTTAATGCTGAAAAAGCCCCCCTTGGCTTATACTTGAGTGAGGGTCCTGGCGGGAAATCATGGGGCTGAAAGAAGCCCTTTGCAGGGCTTCTACCAGCTGCATGCTTCTCCCATTTTGGCACAGCAACCCAGCTGGATTGCTGTGTGGGGAGGAGAAGCTGTATGCCTCAGTTAATGTAATTTTATTAGTAGCTATTTTTATTTTGAAATTTACCAGTAGCTGCTGTATTTCCCACCCTAGGCTTATACTCGAGTCAATAAGTTTTCCCAGTTTTTGTGGTAAAATTAGGTCCCTCGGCATATATTCAGGTTGACGTATACTCGAGTATATACGGTACATCATGTGGTTTTCCATTGGTTGCCTCTCAGGCAAGTACTAACCAGGACTGAGCTTGCTACCTAGTAGTTAGTGGGTGGAAGTATCTTCTATCAATCCTTTTGGCTGTCGCTCATGGGCCTTTGGGTATGACCTACAATGATTAAAAGTCAGGTTTCAGGAAAAGGCAGTTATGGGGAATGTTTTTTGTTACCTTGCACATCATCAGTCAAGATATATCTTTCTGAAAATGAAAACATTACATTAATTTATTGCTAACCTCACTTTCTCTTTGTTTTATTTTTCAGTCTAGTCCTAACTACAATGAAGAAAAATGCAGATGTGAATATCTTCACAACAAGTTGGCTCACATTAAGAGACTTATAGGTGAATTTGACCAACGGCAAGCAGAGTCATGGCACTAGGGCTCTGGACCAGAAGATGTGAATAAACTAAAGATTATTTATTTAAAATTCCACACAACTTGCTCTAAGGTTTAAAAAAAAGTGAAACTTCTCATTAGCAGACCGAGTTGCTGTTTTTGTTGATCGCGAGGCTATTGCTTCCCTGCATAGTTGAAGCTGCTTTTTTTCCTGGTCCTTTTTTTCTTTTTAACACTTCTGCTTATCCATGGAGATAATTTTACCATTGGATACTGGGGATCCAGTCTCTCTAGTTCTGAAGTTATGCACATTTTAAAGGAAAAAAAAAGTTGTAGCAAAAGAGGAAGGGTTTTGAATGAGTACAAGTCTGTTTTCTCACCTTTTCTTGTTAATACAGAACTATTTGCCTTAAGTGGTGGAAAGTTTAAAAATTTGCACAAAATAAAACAAGTGAAACATTGTTTTGGGGAGGGGTCACAGGTGGTATATAGCGTTTATATACACACCTCTCTATTGACAACAGTATCTTATTTCTGTAATTTCAACCCCCACTGCAATGATTGCCTTACGTCGTTAGTTGTTTATCTGAATTGTATTTAACCCATCTCTCCATAAACAACGCTGCTTCCCACTGCATAAAAATGGGATGCATTCTGTGGCCTAATGTATCTGAAATAAGTGTGTGTGAATAAAGTGTGTGTATGAGAGAGAGAGTGAGAGAGAGGGATCTTGTGTATGCACAATTCGGAGCAAACTCTTACATAGGTCTAACGTTCATGTTGAAACAACTGACAAGTGTTAGTACAGTTTTTTCCTTATGAAACTGGCACATGTGTTCTAGGTGACAAATATTTCAATTTCAACAATTTGTCAACTTTCTTATCAAAGAAAAATTGATACTTTACAAAAAAAACTAAGTCTATAGTTTTGGGGCAAAATTATAAAATTATATATGTAGGTGACCTATTTATATAACTGCTATAAAAGTATTTTTTGAAGAGAAATATGCAAATGAAGCTATTGCCTACATGAAATGTATATTTAAAGATTTTTCTTCCTGAGTGTCAGGAATATAACAAAGATGTATTTAACTATAGAATACTGTGATCATTGAACAGCACAAACTTTCATTTCATGCAGTTAATTGGTTTAATTTAATTAAACCATCACTTTATCATGTGGGAACATAAGTTATTTGGTCACAAAATTGACTTATACCTGTCCTTTCTTTTTTTTTTTTTTTTGTCTTAATATATTTCTTTCAAAGTGCTGCCAATTGAAAAGGGAAGCATTATGTTTACAAGTCTAATTTTTTGGAATGTTTGCCAAAATTTTGGTAGTATCTTTAATAAACTTGTCTTCAGCATCAAATCATTTGTTGTGTATTTCTGTGCATGTAAAGTCAATGACGTTCCTGTTGGATAGCATTGTCATAAACATGAATAACTCGGGCTATAAGATAAATGAAGCAATTCTTTCTGTATTTACAATAGAGCAAAAACTATTGGCCATGGATGGATGTTAAGGAAAGCTTGTCTCTGCCATCATTGCAGCAGTCTGGTATTTTTGGGTAAATTTCTGATTCTCTTTGGAGTGATTGTGTGCCTCTATTTTGTTGTCGAAGGCTTTCATGGCCTGAATCACTGTGTTGCTGTGCGTTTTCAAGGCTGTATGGCCATGTTCCAGAAGCATCATTTTAGTCACCCTTTGCTGGACACATTCCAGCATTTTCCGTAAATTGCAGTGCCCGGAATTGGACACAGTATTGCAGGTATATAGAGCGGTAGCATGACTTCCCTGGAATATAGTGTGTAGATCCAGGAAAGTCCTGCTAACCCTCCATTCTGCCTTGGTCAGACCACACCTGGAATACTGTGTCCAGTTCTGGGCACCGCAATTTAAGGGAGATGTTGACAGGCTGGATTGTACCCAGAGGAGAGTGACTAAAATGATCAAGGGTCTGAAGAACAAGCCCTATGAGGAGCAGCTTAAAAACCTGGGCATGTTTAGCCTGAAGAGAAGGCTGAGCGGAGACATGATAGCCATGTATAAACATAGGGAAGAGGGAGCAGGCTTGTTTTCTGCTGCCCTGGAGATTAGAACAATGGCTTCACGCTACAGGAAAGGAGATTCCACCTGAACATTAGAAAGAACTTCCCACCTGTGAGAGCTCTTCAGGAGTGGAACCCTCTGTCCCAGAGTGTGGTGGAAGCTCCTTTGGAGGCATTTAAACAGAGGCTGGATGGCCATCTGTCAAGAGTGTTTTGAATGCGATTTTCCTACTTCTTGGGAGGGGGTTGGACTGGATGTCCCATGAGGTCTCTTCCAACTCTATGATTCTATGATTCTCTCCTGACATTTCACCTGCATCTATGGCAAGCATCCCCAGAGTTTGTCAGGTCTGTTGGAAAGTAGATAAACAGAATTATAAAGCACAGCATATAGCAGCTTCGGGGGTAGGGGCTGATTACAATGAGAAACTTGTTCTTTCAATAAAAAGGTGGAGGAAATTCTAATTACCTTGTACTCCATGGTTACAGCCAAGACCAGCATTTCTGTGTGGCAGAGATCTTAACATATCACCTCCTACATAACGATTTTAGAACAAAGGAATTGCATTATGTTGTATTTTTAGCATCTGTTGTAAATTTCATTCGAAAGAGCCTGGCTGTCTATGGGCTACCCACGATGCTGAGAAAGTAGAATATTTATCCAAAGTTTGTGCTGCCTCTTTCTGGACATTACATCAAGCAGAACAAGAGTGCCTTGACAATCTTAATAGATTGACGCAGAACTGAAATATGCATGATCGCACCTCATGACCCTTTTTTTGTGAAATGTAATTTGCATAGCACAACAATTCTTCTGTATTCTGTGTGTTAGCTTTTGTGACTAGTTAGCATCTGTAGTCTTATTTATTTATTTACTTACGTTTATATCCTGCCCTTCTCGACCCCGAAGGGGACTCAGGGTGACTTACAGCAGAGGCAAAATTCAATGTCTTAAACAATTCAACAAATAAATAATATTTAGTTAAAAATCTAAACGAGGTTAAAAGCCATTAAAACATAAACAATACCACTTACAGCTCTAAAAACATTATCCACAATCAAGGTCGGGCCTTTCCAATTATCGTTACATATAAATCCAAGTCATCTAGTGCACTGTATTAGTTGCTAAAGGCTTGGTCAAAAAGTCATGTTTTCAGCTTTTTTCTGAAAGTTAGGAGGAAAGGGGCTGATCTAATATCACTGGGGAGGGATTTACAAGTCCAGAGTCACATCTGACCCCCCTCAAGTGCCACTATCCTTCAACTCTACCATTTCAGCCATGTTTCCTTTGCCTGTCCTCTCCTCAACCACCATCTTCTCTATGTTCAGCAGAGTCCATCCTACTCACCAATAGCATTGGGGATTGGGTGGCCTTGCCATGGCGAACCTTCTAGGATAGACCCTTCCTGACTGCCCCTCCCAGCACTGCTGCCGCCATGCTATGTGTTTGCTTTCAATAAGTGTGAGAAGGAGGAAAAGAAAGAAGAGATGTGTGGAGTCATTTCTTCCACCGAACCCATAGTAATAACCAAAAGAGCCAGGTAGGCAGCCACAATGGGGTTTGAAAAAATTATTGCGCCTTTCCTTTGAGAAACTATCACATACCCCTAAGAATTGCACCCCACAGTTTGAGAACTACTGTTGTAGACAATATACAAGAGTTTCAAGAAACACAGACCGGACTTCATCCGAAAATGCACTCAGATTTATGTTTCATTTATTGCATTTCTATACCACTCTTCTCACGCCTGGGGGGGGGGGGGGGGCTCAGAGCAATGTACAACATGGCAAAAATTAAATGCCGAACATACATACAAAAGCAATACATAACGTAACTAAATCAATAACATATCAATATGAATTAAAACCATTAAAAACTATTCAAAGTCACATCATAACATGAACACAAAGCATATTAAACATTGCACCAGACCCCTGGTTATACCATTTGGCTGCTTCAGTAATAGTATCACTTGCCATATGCCTGCTTGCATAACCAGGTTGTAAATTGAGACGCAAGCTGTTGAGCAAAATAAATCAATGATAAAACAGCATCTTGTTCAGTTTTTACAATCTTGTAAGCCAGACATAACGACATCGAGGTGACTGAAAGGGCCTCCAACAACCTACTTTAGAAGCCAGACAGCCTTATGAAAAGGAATTTTGAAGTGCTGAGGAGTGGAGAAGTAACACCTAGTCCTCTTTTCAGCAGTGAGGGCCTTGTGATAAGAAGCCAGAAACATCCCAGAAATCCCAATGTTTGTGGGGCTGCCTGGTTCCTAAAGTAGTCTGTTGATGTAGGCTAGAATCACACTGTTGACTCAGGTTCGGCTTGTAGTCTATTAAGACTCCTAGACTGTTCACAAATGTCAAAATATTTCTACATTAAAAAATAAGAATTTAAAATATTTCTTCATCTCTGATGAAACTTCAATTGCACTAGCTGTTATCAAATGGAGTTGGTAGTTAAAGAGATAGGAAACAAAATACTGTATTTCTGACACATTATTTTGAGAGTAAAGTTTAAATACCACCAGATGTACATTTCATGGCAAGTTGCGTAGTATGATTGAGTTTTTGTTATCATTAACTTTAAACAAAATTTCAGAAGTAATACTGTGAACATTTTTTTCAGTGTGGTTCTAAAATAGCAACATATCTTTCTGTCAGTTTCAAATGTACACAAATATTAGCCAACAATTGCTACATCTTCAAGGCCTTTGTATCCCTGATCTCATCAGCCAACAATGCAGCACAAATACTTTCATTGATCCACTTCATAATATCCAACAATCCCTGCAGATGACGTAAATGGTATATGGAAGAGGATTTATAAGGGAGTATAACTTGCATGATAAAATATATCTGTTGAAATCTCCCTTTCCACACAACTATGAACCCAATGTACTTCTAACTGAATAATATTGTGAAATGCAATGATTACGCAATAGGTTAAGATAAAGGTTTTCCCCTGACATTAAGTCCAGTTGTGTCCGACTCTGGGGTGTGGTGCTCATCTCCATTTCTAAGCCGAAGAGCTGGAGTTGTCCGTAGACACCTCCAAGATCATGTGGCCAGCATGACTGAATGGAGCACCGTTACCTTCCCAGCAGAGCAGTACCTAGTGAAGCTGGGGCTGGCAGTGGAAGCTCACGCCCCTCCCCAGATTCGAACCTGCAACCTTTTGGTCAACAAGTTTAGCAGCTCAGTGGTTTAACCCACTGTGCCACCAGAGGCTCTGCAATACAACACAATAATTTTGATAATGGGTCATTTTTTTGTTGTTGTTCATTCGTTCAGTCGTCTCCGACTCTTCGTGACCTCATGGACCAGCCTACGCCAGAGCTCCCTGTCGGCCGTTACCACCCCCAGCTCCCTCAAGGTCAGTCCAGTCACTTCAAGGATGCCATCCATCCATCTTGCCCTTGGTCGGCCCCTCTTCCTTTTTCCTTCCATTTTCCCCAGCATAATTGTCTTCTCTAGGCTTTCCTGTCTCCTCATGATGTGGCCAAAGTACTTCAACTTTGTCTCTAGTATCTTCCCTCCAGTGAGCAGTCGGGCCTTATTTCCTGGAGGATGGACTGGTTGGATCTTCTCGCAGTCCAAGGCACTCTCAGCACTTTCCTCCAACACCACAGCAAAACAATTACGTTCGCTCAGCCTTCCTTATGGTCCAGCTCTCACATCCGTAGGTTACTACAGGGAATACCATGGCTTTGACTATGCGGATATTTGTTGCCAGTGTGATGTCTCTACTCTTTACTATTTTATCGAGATTGGACATTGCTCTCCTCCCAAGAAGTAATCGCCTTCTGATTTCCTGGCTACAGTCTGCATCTGCAGTAATCTGTGCACCTAGAAATACAAAGTCTGTCACGGCCTCCACGGTTTCTCCCTCTATTTTCCAGTTGTCAATCATTCTTGTTGCCATAATCTTGGTTTTTTTGACGTTTAGCTGCAACCCGGCTTTTGCGCTTTCTTCTTTCACCATGATTAGAAGGCTCCTCAGCTCCTCCTCGCTTTCGGCCATCAGAGTGGTGTCATCTGCATATCTGAGGTTGTTAATGTTTCTTCCAGCAATTTTCACCCCAGCTTTGCATTCATCCAGCCCCGCACATCGCATGATGTGTTCTGCATACAAGTTAAAAAGGTTGGGTGAGAGGATGCAGCCTTGCCGTACGACTTTCCCAATCTTGAACCAGTCTGTTGTTCCGTGGTCAGTTCTGACTGTTGCTACTTGGTCCTTGTACAGATTCCTCAGGAGAGAGACAAGGTGGCTTGGGATGCCCATCCCACCAAGAACTTGACAATTTATTATGA